CGATGTGCGGCAACAGATGAGAGTGCAGTTCCATAGAGAGATGCTGCAATAGTGCGCAGGATCTGTCGTTCCAATTATCAAGCCCCAAAGCTAAACAGTCACTTTTATTTTTTAATTCACTTTTTTTGTCTGAAAAACTTGGATAAAGGAATCGAGCTGGTAAAACTAAGACCTGCATTTTCCTATTGTAGTCAACCTTAAGTAGCTGGAGATTCTTTAGTTCTTCAGTGGCATATCCTATAATCCTTTTTTTGTATGCAGTCATCTAATCAGAACATTTCTTTCTGGTATGATTAATGAAAACAAAATCATTAAATATCTTGGTTTCAAACTATGAATTTTAGAGAATAGCAAATCGACATTGCTGTACTCGTGCGTGGCAGCTTGCCAAGTCAAGCCAAGAGTAGATACTTGAACTCATAGGAAATGACACCCTTAAAAAGTTCAAATATGGTTGCTCGCAGTTTTGTGTTTGTGGGGTTTTTTAATATCATCCTAGAATTATTTAAATGTACATTATTCCTGTAACTTAGTTAGGGATAAATTGTAAAATCTGTAAAATCAGCTATTTAAAGCTAATTCAGGCTTTATGTAGATGCATTATTGACATTTTCAAAGTTTATTTAAATTTGCTACCTACAAGCTATTTCCAGATGATGCAATCAGGCATGGCAACTTAGAAGTTTGTAATTTGCATTTAAAATTGCTTTATTGAAGAACTATCGCTGCATTATAACGAATCACCGTATTATCAGCATGCTTTTTGCATACTGGGGGAGGAAAAATATTGATCTGAAAAGCCGGTAACCAAAGTAGAAAATGAGAGCACTGAACGAGGCATCCGAGGGAGTCTTATATGTAATTCCATTATATCTTGACTAAGTTTAACAACTCCTATGGCAATATGTGCGTTCCTCCTAGTGTAAATCGCTGCCTGTGTTACAAATTCTTTCCTGGAAGGCTAAATCAGATCTGGGTATCTCGGAGGCAATACGGAGCTGATAGTCCTTGAGGCAACAAGCCCATCTTTCCTCTGTGCGTGTGTATGTGTGTTTGTGCTTTTCTGGTAGTAAACCATGAATATTTGTGCTGACTAAATGTTTACTATGTGGAAATGGTTATAAAGTAAATATTTCCATATATTACTGGAGATAAAATTATTAATTGATGCTTACGTAAGATAATTCCATGCGTACATGCATGGTTGGCTGTCCTCAGTTAATGCTCTTACTTGGAAGTAATGCCAGAAGCGAATTTAATATGTTCACAAGAAAACAAACAAAACAGTCATTTGAAATAATAAAAAAATGAGCAAATAGCCCAAGTAAAATTACGGCTGGCTGTGGTTATGGCTGGTCTAGTCTCAGGGCATTGTAACGTCAACCCTGCAAAGGGATTTTCGTTTCCTCTCTGTATCTGGCTACATTTTATGTGTATCGGAAACTAAGCGCATAGCGAGCGAGGCAGGATCTTCATCTCTGAGTTTCCACAAACATTTATGTCTTTTTGGATGGTGTGGGCTTTCTGTACTGTGACATTAGAAACCTGCGGATACCCCTGGGGGGGGGGGGGGTTATAAGTTGCAATTAAACATCAAACTAAAAACCATTGAATCATTTTTAAGAGACTGAAAAACACAATAATGGAAAACAAAGCCATGCTGGTGTCGTCGTCCACAGATGTTCTATGTGCACGGGCTCCAGTTGCTAAAGCCACTGCTGATCTGGTGGTTTCTTTACCCAAAGAAACTACTTTTTTTTTTTTTTTTAATATAGAAATCTCTCTGTGCAACCTATTCTTCTATATAAATAATTGTGGTTTACTGAAAACCTAAGTTGCAAGTTCTTTCATCGAGCCAGATTACTTTGGAAGGAAAGGACGACATTCAGGGTTCCTTTTCTGCATCTCTCTCAGATATTTATAGTAGTTGAATCTCCTCGTCTGGTAAACAACTATTTTCTTAATGAAGAACTGTAAATTCGGGTTATTTGCACTGTTGTTGATGCGCAAAAATCCGTGGGAGCACACCCACGTGTCCTTGCAGCAGGGTCGTTCTTTGGAGCAATAAGTCAAAGCAAGGTCTCAAATTGAAACGGCAGGGAAAACCCTCAGGAAAATCAAGTATAACGTATCGCTGGGCTCCAGCTGCATTCATCCAAGAGCTCTAATGTAAATTCAAATGTGAAATTGCTGAAATATAAATGGTGTGTAATCCGGTGCTAAAACCCGCCTCAGTGCCAACAGAAAGCAACAAGTGTGTCCCAACCTTTGAAAACCGGCTCCAGGAGGGACCCTGTGAATTATAGATGAAGAAGTCCGACTTCCCTACCAGGCAGGCTGATAGAACAAGTGCAGTGCTGAACGGAGTCGGTTCATACGCAGATAGGTAACGGTGGGAACAATCAATGGGATTTTTTGAAGAGGGAAAGCGTCCTGCAAAAAGAGATCTTGAAGGAGTTGGTAAGCCTGGGGATAAGGGTGATTCATCTGATTTAATGTCTTGAATTTGCCAGGAGCTCTCAACAAACTTCCCACTCAGTCTCTGCTTACGTAAAAGAACGACGTTGGTACAGGTAGGGCGGTGAGGGTTTTCTCATAGATTAATAACTGATGAAGAGATACAGAAGATGTGGGATTAAAGTAAATACTTGGGTTTTGTGAGGGAAGGAGATTTGCTGGCAAGGTCCTCTTTTTTCTCTTGCCTGTCCTCTCCTCCTGAAATGCGTGTGGGAACCATGGTGTTTAACGCACTGAGAAAATGATTCGTTTACTTAGCATAATGATTTAACATAACCAATATGGAGAAGAAACTGGAGAGGTGATGATTTGAAGGTGAAGAATCATTCAGTATAAGCAAATGTAAAACTTATGACCATAAAATGTGGCAAGTTCTTGACAATTTTGGTTGCCCAGGCAAGAAAATAGCACAAGAAATCAATGTTAAAAAGAGAAAAGCAGTCAGTTGGGCAGAAAATTGCTGCCTACAGAATAAAGAACTCTGAATAGCCGTTACCATTTATGAAAGAGATACCAGAGCTGGAAAATGGAGTGAAGGATAAAGAAATGGAGACTTTGTCTACTAAATGTTTCTAATCCTTCCTCTAGGTAGCATCACTAGGAAGGGAGGTATTTTGAAAGGGTATTAAACCCCTTTCTAGGCAGCGTGGTTCTTATTTTAACAGGTTGAGTGGCTGTCGGACCCAATTTATGTTACATGCTCTAATACAGTTGTAGCATCTAAACTAAATATGTTTGTGTTGAGATTAACCTTCTAAAAATGCACCTTTTATCTTAATATTAGGAAGTCCTTAGGTATTCCAGTAGTGGTGGCCACTTTGCTCCCTGTGAGTGTTTCTCCATTTAGCTGCCATTTAGCTGATACGCCTTCTTCTGTTTGAACTCTGCGGGGCTGTCCGTGTTTCTAAATCACATCAAATTTCTCCTTAAAACTGTTCAGATTTTATCTGTCCTGCAACACTTTTGGAGTTATTACCTTCTTGCAGATGCTCAGCTTCTTTTGTTGCTTCTCTCTTGACCGAGACTCTCAGACAGAACTAAGCATTCCTGAAAAATTCATTTCTCATACCAGCTGCCCCATTTGAGAGCAAACTGGAAGACTGACTTCTGTAAGGAGAGAGTTGGGATCGATGAGTGGAATCAGCAGCATCTCAAACATCATAGGACTTAATCAGTTATTTAGTGTCCACTCCTTCAGGATGAGTTCTGCAAATCGGTGATTATCTCCACTCCGTAGACCAGGTGAGATTCCTGTAACCCACACCATCTACAGTGAGGTATGACTCTTTGTGGAGGGTTGACCCAGGCTGGAGGCCAGGTGCCGCCTCAAAGACGCTTTGTCACCCACCCTCCTCAACTGGGCAGGGGAGAGAAAATATGATGAAAGGCTCACGGGTTGAGATGAGGACAGGGAGAGACTGTTCACCAGTTAGCATCACAGGCAAAACAGACTCAACTTAGAAAACATTCGTCTAATTTATTACCAAGCCAAACAGAGCAGAGCAATGAGAAGTAAAACCAAATCTTAAAACACCTCCCCCCACCCCTCCCTTGTCCCGGGCTCAATTTCACTCCCAAATTCTCTCCCTCCTCCCCCCCAGCAGCACAGGGGGACGGGGAATGGGGGTTGTGGTCAGTTCATCACACAGTGTCTCTGCCGCTTCTTCATCCTCAGGGGGAGGACCCCTCACACTCTGCCCCTGTTCCAGCCTGGGGTCCCTCCCACAGGGCCACAGGTCCTGCCAGGAGCCTGCTCCAGCGTGGGCTCCCTATGGGGTCACAACTCTGGGGTCCTCCGTGGGCTGCAGGTGGAATCTCCTCTCCCCATCATCCTCCATGGGCTGCAGGTGGAATCTCCTCTCCCTATCATCCTCCATGGGCTGCAGGTGGAATCTCCTCTCCCCATCATCCTCCATGGGCTGCATGGGGACAGCCTGCCTCATCATGGGCTTCTCCATGGGCTGCAGGGGAACCTCTGCTCCAGCCCTTGGAGCACGTCCTTCCCCTCCTTCTTCACTGACCTGGGTTTCTGCAGAGTAGTTCCTCTCACATCTTCTCATTCCTTTTTCTGGCTGCAAAAACCCTACTTTTTTGGTTTTTTTTTTTCCTTCTTATACATGTTATCCCAGAGGCGCTACCACCACCGCTGATGGGCTCGGCCTTGGCCAGCAGTGGGTCCGGCTT